AAGGCCCCTGCCGTCAAAATAATTCTGAAGGAAGTCACTCAGCCACATTTTGGTGATGCGTTCCTTTCCCTCCAGCAGAATGTCCTTTACGGTGCTTCTCATGGTCCACTGTGGTTGCTGCGTTTCCTCCACTCTTATGTGGGTCGCAGCGGGTTGATCCGTCTCGTCATCGGACGACAGCCTTGCTCTCGTCTGGCAATCTCCTTGCGGCACAGTATATCCCTGACACTCGGTATTATCGTCACCCTGCACCCTCTTGCGCTTTCCAGGCATTGTTTCTCCTTGTCTTCGTGGTTGGATTGAGTTAAAGCTGAACACTAAACAAAAATCAAAGAAAGGGCATATAATAAAGAAAAAAGGAAAAGGAGAATACGCACAGACATGACTGACAGTCACGGCAAGAGAGTCATCCACACAGTGTGACAGCACAAGGTGAGTTCGGTTACGCAGCAGGAAGAAAAACACGTACAATTCAGCACAAAATAAAGGCACTGCAAACAACGCCAAAAAAGACACAGTGCAGTGGCGACTGAACCGAAGCTCCTCCCACGCGGACATCATGGGACGAAAGAAAGTCACAAGCTCAGTCGCAAAAAACAGAAACAAATCAAAAAAAAAATAAAGAGCGACGCTGTTTGTGCTGTGAGCGATGAGTGGCCGTGGTGCGCAGCACATCCGTGGCCCTGCGCCCTCCCCCATCAACCAGCACTGCAAACCTATCAATTCTACGTGTTGCACGTCACAGGAAAGCGTGATCAATTTTGCAGCTTGCACTCGAAGCATGGTCAAACAGGCTCTGTGCGTCTGGAATTGTGTCACCAGCCATGGGCTGCTACGGCGGTGCGGGTGGTCGGTACGACGACGCGACGGCGGTGCCTGAGGCGTACGACAACGAAGTCATGTCGTGGAGCTTCGGCGTATCCTCGTCGCTCTCCTCGTCATCGCGCAGCAGCGCCTCCAGTCCTCCACGCCGCGGCTCGCACAGCTCCTGCCAGTGGCGGTCCTCCGCGTACCACACAACGACGCTGTACACAGTGGCCGCAAGCAGCACAGTGGTCAGCAGCAGCACGATAGCCGCGTACGCCCTCGCACCGCCGTCGCTCAGCGCAAGATGGTTGGCCGCGCTCACCACGCACAGCGCCGCAAGCAGCACAAAGCTCGCCGTCTGCATCACCGTCAGGAAGGCCGAGCGCATCATGTTCGTGAAGGCAACCACGCCCGCGCCCGCAAGCAGCACAGCAGCCATGCAGAAGTACTGGACGTGGCAGTCTCCCACGGACGGGTGCACAGCCGCAATCAGGCACACCACACACAGCACCGACAGCTGGAACACGCACCAGTACACGTGGCTGCCCCTCATGTTCGTCAGCATGCCGCCGTACATCCGCTGCTGCGCCGCAGGGTGCCAATACCCGACGGGGTACAGCAGGCGCTCGTGCAGCGGCTTCCTCGAAAACTGCCAGTACCTCGTGAAGCTCGCGCCCGTGTGGCGGGCAATCAAGTAGCACACGCCAGCAGGAAACGCCGCACCGTACAGCACGCCAACGACACCAACCACGCGGTGCTGCATGCGGGCGCCGGGCATCGCCAGTGCAAACACGGAGCCAAAGAAGATGCCGAGGTGCATCGCGTGCGCCACAACGTACGTCAGGCTCGGGAATCGCATCGCCGCCCACGCACTCGCCGCGTCCACGGCGCGCCACCGCTGGAAGGCCGCCGTCACACCGCAGTGCACGCACCCGAACACAGCGGCAAGCAGCGCGTTGCCCACCACCATCCACAGCGGGTCAAGGGCAGCGAACACCGACAGGAAGTACGGCAGCGCAACGGTGCTCGCACGCTCCTGCGCCGAGGCGCATGGCATCCTCGCAAACACGCCGAGCGCCTGCATCTCCAGGATGGAGCCCAGACCGCCGGTCGCCACCACGGCAACAGCCGTCGCACCCGCAACAACGCCGTTGATCGCCGAGAGAGCGCTGGCTGCGGGCAACGTGTCAGACCTGATCGTGAAGGACCCAAGCAGCACACCCTTGCAGCCGCCGGACACTGCCGCAGCGTCGCAGCGAATGACTATCGTCTCGTCGGCAGCAATGAAGTAACCGCGGTGCACGGGCACAGCCAGCTCCAGGACGGTGGACGGATTCGTCGCGTTGCGCAGCATCGCTCCCCACGGACCACCAAACCCGCGCGGCTGTGCCGTCGACACCGGAACGAAGCTCAGGTGCGTGCCGAGCTGCGGGTCGCGTGCCCATCGAAACGGCGGCGGCAGCGCCACCATAAGCCGCGTCGGGACGGCGCTCCCACCGCCGCGGATGTCGTTCTGCGTCAGGCTCCCACTAGTCGCCGTCGTCGTCACGGTGAGTGTCGGGCACGCCACGTCGCTCCACCAAAACTTTGTGCACACCGACGCTGTATTCCATAACAATCCCGTGGGCCACCACATCGTGGTGCCGTAGTCTGGCAACTCGTATTGCCAGGGAATGCCAAAAGCCAGTAAAGTTTCCTTCAATGAGTCGTATTTGATGGCGCAGCGCCGACAGCACCTGCCAGCGCCCGGCCGGCAGCGCATTACTGTGGCTCAGCACAATAAAATGGGTTTGGGACGCGTGTTGCTGTGCCGTCAGTGGCACCATCCACACCATGTCGCTGCCGAGTGGAGATGTGGAAGAGAATCCCTGACCCTGTCTGCGGGGGGTTGCGGTGGAGTACCGCCGACCTCACTCTGGCATAACGTCTGGCGCTGAGCATGATGCTGCATAAAGAGAACGTGTTGTTTTTTGCGATGGGTGGGACGAAGATTTCTCTCACCCTGAAGCCACTATTTTAGACCTGCCGGAGCCAGCACCAGGGACCACAGCACTTCATGAATGACCTCAATGTGACAGGTGGGCGGGCAATGCCGGGGCCTCGGCCAGCCACACCCAGCGCAATCTGTCCGATGGTGAGAATGTCGCGACGCCAAAAATAGAGCCAGAATGCACGCACGTCGTAAAGCTTGAAACACAGCAGGAAGAAGGCCAAACCCGCACAGCGAATTTGCCTCCGAGAGCGACTCTCTCCTCGGCGCAAAAGGAGAACGCCGCCGAGAAACAGCGCACTGCGCGCCTAAAATGCTACGCACACATCCATTCATCAGCGTCACACTGTCGCCGATTCCACGACGGCAGAGGGTCAGGCCGCCGAAAAAGTGCACGTTGCCCGGCGAAGACACTCCGATGGGATCACCACCGCTCGAATTTCTCTGCCCAGCATGCGGCTTTCGGCGCCACGGCAATGACGGACTGACCCGCCACCGCACGGCACGCCACGGGCATCAACCAGACATCGTGAAAATTAACCAACGTGAACTGAGCGAGGAGACAAGTCCGCACCTACTCCGCTGCCCAGCTCTGCAAGCACCTATACAAAAGCTTGGAGTAGACGCTTGGGAAATGAGGAAACTGTGCTCCACCAAAAGTTTATCGCAGTTTCTCTTCAGGGTTTAAAGACTCTGCTCCCAGCAGTACCTCTGCGGGGCGAAAAGACACGAAAGCTCTCGCAGATGCGCAACAATTGTGTGCTTCACGTATTCCGCTGCAGCTCCCCCTCCGGGGGCTGGGGCTCTTCCTCCCACCTCCACACAGCAGTGCCGACGTGCTCCACGGTGGTGATCGGCGTGAGGGCCATCGTATTTATGCGATAAAACACGAAAAACCCTCTCCTTTTTCTTTTTATTCTGAGCAGTGCAGCCTCCGAATTCGGCATGATGCATCATGATTGGTAGTGTTCTCACTCCCTCATAACCTCTGACAAAAGTTGACACTGGCAAAAAGTAATTTTGTTGCTTTTTTATGGAGGGGAAGGTATCACATTTTGTAACACTCCTGTCGGCATCATTTCTTTTCCTAGTTCCTCTCAATCCATCAGCTCCAGCAGAGTGGGGTACTCCTCGCAACCTGCCAGATGGTTGAAAGAAGCAACCACAAAATAAAAGCTTTTCTCCATGTTATTCGATTGGCCTCAAAGAATTTTCCTTTGATGCGCCTCTACACCTCGGTATAATCACACACAACCAAACAAAAACAAATGCAAAGATTTTTTGGCTCACAGCAAACGAGGCCTTTTGTGGAAACCCACTGCTTGCATTGTTTGCACCACGCAATGTGCTCTTTAACCGTAGAAGCTGTGCGTGCACAAAAGACACGTGCAGTCCCATGGCTCCCAACGGGAACAATTCACCTCGGCACAAT